CAATGTTTCTTTTGTTGCCGCTATCTGAAAATTATAAGTACAACCAATCAAAGCAATTGTAATGGATAATTGGACACAGAGTAAAAATAAATGATCAGTAGATGAAATAAATTACCACGACATGATTTTTGATGATTAGACTATTTTTCATGTATTAGTCATGAACTAAAGAAAAATTGGTGTTTTTTTTTTAACACACAAAACAGTATTATACAATGGGATACTGAAAAATTCTGGGCTCGAACCACTTCCCATGGCCGCTCGTATACCACACATTGGCTAAGAGTAACTGACGGAATACTGAAAGAAATAAAATGTTATGTAATGATGTCCCGTGTTATCATTTAATCGGCACCTCATATCAATACACACCATATACCACACATTGGCTAAGAGTAACTGACGGAATACTGAAAGAAATAAAATGTTATGTAATGATGTCCCGTGTTATCATTTAATCGGCACCTCATATCAATACACACCATATCAACCCTTGAAGGTCATTGGGACTATCTCGGTGATCGATAAATATCTGTGAGTTAAAAGGGGTACGATGGGACTAATCCAGAAGGGCGATAAATGCTTGAGGATCAAAAGGAGTCGATAAATACCGATTCTTATTTGAACTCATTGACAAGTCTAGGAATCTTGAAGTTAAGCTATTCGAATGTAATGTCAATCGACATCTCCAGTTGCCTTGATCTATTCACTACCCTTCTCCTCATCCTTTCTTCTATCACACCTATCTGATCTTGCTCAAAATTTTCTGTAACCCCTTGCGTCCTGGTGGCTTCCCGCCTTGCTTGGGGTGAAACGCTTAAAAAAAATCATTGTTGAAAAGCAAAAAAGTCTTAGTGACTCTTAGAAGAATATAAATACAACTATTAAATACCCCCGCCAAAGTTTAGCGCAGCAGTTGGGTCATATTTATTTGCTTTCCAAAGTCCGTCCATGCTTGAAGCTGGTTTTAGCCCACAAAATGTAATACTAATTTAGCCGAACTGAACCTAGAAAAACGTGGGAACTTACAACTAAAACTCGCCAATTTTGGTCTTGTTACTGTCTTTCAAAAACCCAATTACACAATATATATTTATACAATTTACTACACTACATTAGAACTTTTTCATAAACGTTACGTATTTTAAAATCAATGCGAGGAAGAAACTAGAATGTATAATAAAAATATATTTATTATTCTGAAAAGAACTTTTTCACGCAGCGTGTTAACTATGAAGCCTAGTGGAACAATAAACCTTCTTTTCCCGTTTTTAAAATGCAAATTAGAATGTGTAATCTATATAATAAATGCGAATGTCAGTGTGTCACTGTGTCACACTTTTTCAACTTTACTCCCAGAGGCCGTAGCCCAATATATCATATCATTTTGGCATCAGGCCTACTCCATGAGCTAATTCAAAACATTCCGGGCTGGATCCGGACCCACAATCCTGAAATTTTGGATTTCTAGTTTTGCATTACAGCAAGTGTTTTCGGATTCCGCCATCTTTGCTTCTACTGATAAAAACAGTTAAAGTGACACAACTCTCTAACTTTCAATAGCTCATGTTCGAATGAAAAAATACTGCTCTCAAGTTACAGTGTTTCAAAATAAAATTGTCCGTGTTATCAACTTTACTCCTTAAAGGCCGTAGCCCAGCATATCATACCAGTTTGGAATCAGGCCAACTGGTGAGTAAATTAAAAACATTCCGGGGTGATCCAGACCCCGCAATCCGAAAATTTTGGATTCCTAAGTTTTCATTACTGCGATTGTTTTTGTCGATATTTTACGTGATTTTTTGTGACGAATTTTTTAGTGCAACAACAATTTTTATAAACTGAAAACAAACTTGGGAATAATTGATATCAATTGTAAAATCCAGCGAAAGTCACCCAGGAAATAAAAATAATTTTGTACGGAAATTAAGGACCTACGTACATCAAATTGTCTTTAAATTAAGTGGAGGCTGAAGAATTATCGTTGAACTTTTAAAAGTTAAGCTTAAATATTAATGTAGTACTTAAATGCAGCGATCAATTTTGAATTCTTTTGTAGTTTGTTATTGTCTATTGGGGCCCGATGAGGGATCAAAGATTCCTGAAAGGGGCTAATGTTATAAAATTTGACACGTACCCAGGGTCATTCTTCGTGGTTGTGCCGAGAATTTTTCAGTAACATTTCGTATAATTCTTCCAGAATTTTTAAATGTACAATTCAAATGAACAATATCCCCATATTTGGAGTCATTAGGCTATTTGATTCTGTCATTAATATTTAAGGGTCACTCTTCAATTGATACATTATTGGGAGATATATCTTCGAAATACTCATTGTAGTGTCAATGTTTTTGATGTCGTGAAGACGCAATGGACAAAAGTAAAATTATTGTTGTTAAATTGAAATTAACGTAGAACATTAAATTACATGAATTTTTTTTTTTAAATAATTAAGATTTTACAATTTTCGAGTGTTTTTTTAATTTAAGACTAAGCTTGCCCACGTAAAACCGACAGAGTTTTTTTGTTAATTTCTTAATATCATGAAAAGATTTACTTACACGGATTTTATTGTCATACTTTGATTTTTCAGAGAATATGAATTATAACCTCCCGGTGATATGAACATCTTAGAATTGTCATAAAGATACTGCCACCTGGCGATTCTAGTGTAGGGGAGATAACTAATATAGGAATAAGTTATAAACATTACAGAAAAAAAAAACATTTGGTGTATACCACATACGATCTAATAGAAAAAAATCCGCGATCTAATGGGAGTGGTCTAATTTAACACCAAACAGCCACGAACGGTTAATATATATATATATATATATATATATATATATATATATATATATATATATATATATATATATATATTGGCTTCTGGACGTTGAATCTGATAAGTTAATTTAATTCATTGCCCTGTTAACCTAAAAAATCACAACGCATTTAACTTATACACAGTTGTGTCTTTCATTCCGACTTGAAGGCGCCAGACCTAGCACACGTTAGTGAAATGTTGTCATTTTAAAAAAAAAAAACTTTTCCGCTTGTCTTATATACATATACATACATACATATATATATATATATATATATATATATATATGTGTGTGTGTGTGTGTGTAAAAATAAACACCCCCGTTATATTCGACGTATGAGGGTCCCGTAGCTCAGTTCTTAAAATTGAACAGCCAAACTATATTTCTAAAGAAGTAATAGATTTTTCTATTTATTAATCCAGAATTTTATCCTAATAAGCGTTATTTTAGTGTATATCCATATTGAATTCTGTTTTTTTAAAACTCTTTACTTATTTTATTTCTGGTTGTAATCCTGCCGCAGGACGCATAGTTTTCATTAATAAAACCTCTCAAATGTTCATACCTGTAGACTGAAATAAATATACTGTTTAAAAAATAAAAAAGGCCGTCTGCTTAAATATGTTTATCCACTAAAAAATAACGTTTAAAGTGATATATATATATATATATATATATATATATATATATATATATTATCCGATTGTCTATTTTATTTTATTCTCTCTCTCCCTATATATATATATATATATATATATATATATATAAGTTATGAATTATAATTGAATTGGTAAATCCAAGGAGGATGAAATCCCTGAGAGCTCAATGTGAAGAACAGAGCTAATATTTAATGAAAAACAGACCACTTTAAGGTACTATTACAATAATTTATTTCACCAAAATCCTTTTAAAGGATTCCGGATCATCAGGTAACACTTCCAACATTGTTGTCTGTTTTCATTAAATATTAACATTGAGTTTCTCAGGATTTCATTCTCCTTGATTTACCAATTGGTTTACCAAATTTTTCATAACTTATATATATATATATATATATATATATATATATATATCTGACATAGAGCTCTACCTGGATCTATATCCTTTTCGAAATATCCATACTGATTACTAATAATATTATTATTATTATTATATATATATATATATATATATATATATATATATGATAACTATATAGTTATATTTTCCGATTGTCTATTTTATTCTCTCTCTCTCTCTCTCTCTCTCTCTATATATATATATATATATATATATATATATATATATATATATATTTAAAATAGACGTTAAGTATACAAGTAAAAAGCTGAGAATCTGAGTAATTCATAATTAATAAAAGGTATCCTATTACGCTCCTTGACCAGAATGGAGAAACTAATTATCCATTTATTTACTTATTTTTCCTTCTCTCTCAATAGGAGTAGATAGGTTCGCTTACCGTCCGGTTTACACACCACCTTTGTCTTTTGAACAGATGTTGAAGTTCATCCCTTGTTTCCTGTTTACGGTCGGGGTAACCGGTTCCTTCTAAAATCTACTACTACACTACACTTCTAACGTCCCTGACTGAACTCTAAAATCACTAATTAAATCTTGACAATTTCAAGTCTAGAGTTAGCTGCTATATTTCTTGGATAACTCCCAAGAATTTCACTTCTTGCCCTTTCTTATGCCTACATGACACCATACGGTAAGCCTCAACCTTGATTGGCTCTTGGGCTGGATAAACATTAGAAAAAAAATGTCCGTGAATTTATGTCAGGGCATCACTTTAAGTGTATATTCCTTTTAAACAGTTCAAATACAGAACACTTCCTTGAGCCTATTAACCAGTATCTTGTACAGGGGATTTTATTGATTGGTTTGCCATTTCTGAATTTGTTTTTCAAAGATTTTTCTCAATACGGCATTGTTTAAAGAATGACCCAACTCTACAGCTATCCATTGCATGTTTATCGTACAATAAATGAATGAATGAAATCATAAAAAATAGGCTGACAGAATCTGTACAAAATAAAACGAAAAGAAAAGAAACAAAAAAATCAAAAGAAATAAAAAGAAAGAATGGTACATTTACAAGCAACATGGACAAAATTCATAGTGAATAAAACATCAAGTGCTTAAATTGTTGAAGGACAAGTGTCTAATGATTCAAGCTTTTTTCATTTCTTCTTTGTATTTCATAGCTGATAACATTTGTTTCGCATCACTATGTTCCGATGTATCGATATCTGTCATCAGGGTTTTCTCTGTGTCAGACTCGTTAGATAATTCAGATCTTACAGAGTTAGCTCCATCTTTCGATTCAGTGTTAACAATTTCAAACTCTGGAGAGTTGAGAATATCATCGTAGACGCCCTCTTCTTTATTCGCGCACTCTTTTTCCACGTCGAGGGTGTTATCTTCCGGTTTAAAACGGAATTTCAACGTATGATTGTTTTGACCCTCTTTTGAGTCCTCCCGGGTGTCGTCCATTGACTGCTGAATCATCTTTGGCAGACAGCTTTGTTTCTCTCCGTCTTTCTCGGGAAAAGAGTTGGTGACGTGTGACGTATCTTCTTCCTGATACTGGGTGCGCAGGGTTCGGTTTTTCGCAGTGGGTGATACTCCACCGTCTTGGTTCAGATCGCCGTTGTGGGTCGACTTGTTGAGCAGACTCGGGTGTTTTTCGCTCAGCGTTGCTCTCTTGCGCTCAAAGTTGGACAAATCCGTAGTGTTCGTGCTGACCTGTTGGAAATAAAATAGCAGCTGCAATATAAAACTGGTGATTGGCCGCTACGTATATCACAACCGTTGATTCTGCTGAAGATGATATCACAGACAGACAAATGAACGTGACACAAATACATTGAACCTTGTGTATATCACTATCAAGCTTCATTTTTTTTCTCTGCACAGAGATCGTTGGACAACTACAGAATTATAATAATCGCAGATGTAATCTGAAAGTTTTGGATAAAGCATTATAACTATTTCGTAAATTATTCGGACTGATATTCAATGTCCCAATTATTTACTTCAGCCGGTGGGCTCTCCGGCTTTCCTTAATCCTGAAATGAAACGCTGACATTATTCCACGAATTATTCGGGCTAGTACCCAATTCTTTATTATTCCGATTACAATTTTTCGGTCATTGAGGTTTCTGGTTTTTACAGTAATGTCTGAAGTTTTGGAACGAAGTATTTTTATTTTCTGTCTGACTTTCAGGGATTTTTTTTTTGGTTGGGGGTGGAGCTTATCATTAATTACATTATTTACAATCGGAAGAGTATCCTTATCTTGGTTGTTATTATTTGTAAAGAAATCCATATCGAAAGAATGTCGTGTAAATTAACAGGTTTCCCTCTCTTAAACGGTGTCTGCGCCAGAATTCATTCGTATCAGGGCTGAGGAGCAAAGCTAACGTAAAGTAGAAAACTAAGCTTACTTAAAACAAAAAAAAGCAAGGTGGGACCTGGTCACACCCCAAAAATACACAAAGACACACATACACACAAACATTGGATGGAAGAAAAAAGAGAGAAAGAGAAATAAAAAAAGGAACAGTATGTCAATTCATTATATATTCTATATGAAAAACATGTATCAGTCGATAAGGAAATATATTACCTATTTAAGCTATAATAATAGCAGCGACTGATCAAGGTCCGGCTGTAAATAAATTAAAATACTGTTTATTATAACGATGGCGAAGTCAAACCAATAAATTCAATATACGCCATATGGTCTAGACTTTGAGATTCTAAAAAGATGAGGATATTAGTTTGCATAATTTGTGGAATAATTACAGTTCATTAACTCACAATCTTAGACAAGACGAGAATGATCGAAGACGACATAAGACAAAAGGACGTGATAAAAACCGGCAAAAATGAGGATACTCTATCCAATTAATTCGTGTACAATTACACAGCGAAAGAATATAGGTTTGGTTGTAACTGAAATTAATTACAGACTTAGAAGTTTAAAAATTAACAAAACCTTTTAAAATTAAGACATTTTAAAAGTTTTCAGACTAACAAATACAATTGCAGACAGACGTATTTATGAAAAGACGAATTTGAAAATTAAGACATTTTAAAAGATTTCAGACAAACAAATATATTTGCAGACAGACGTATTTATGAATAGACGAATTTGAAAATTAAGACATTTCAAAAACTTCAAATTAACAAATATATTTGCAGACAGACGTATTTATGAATAGACAAATTTGAAAATTAAAACATTTTATAAGATTTCAGACTAACAAATACATTTACATACAGACGTTTTAATCAATAGACCAATTCACGGATTTGAAAATTACCCGAAAATTTTATAACAGACTGAAGATACATTTGCAGGCTGATGTATCTATAGATGAATTCACAAGTTTGAAAATTAACAGACCATTTTGAACCATGTTATTTTTGTTTGGTGATGTAATTTTTGAATATTTTTTATACCACTAACCCCCCCCTTAAGAAATTGCGCGTAAAATATGATATTTTATTACTGGTGAATATGATCAAGCACGAATAATGAAACTATTTACATCTATTTTTGTTTCTAAAGCACATAATCTAGGATAAATAATCTCTAAAAAAAAACAATTAAGTAACTCTTGAAAACTATCTTCGTTCCTAAACAGATAATAAATAGCTAAATTTAAAGTGGCAAGCCTTTCTGAAAAAGTCTGTTATAATCATTACACATTACACTTTTCAGTTATTTAACTTTTTATAAGATCAGTGCGGCAATCCACACTTTCTAACTTCTAAAATGAATACTCATACTGTTGTGCATCTAGATTATATACAACCAATTATATATATATATATATATATATATATATATCTGTGAAGAAATTTGACAAATGAAAAAATGTTTCATTGAAGCATTTATGCTTCCTACAAGCCTAGAGGAACTTAAGCAGAGAATCACTGAGGCGCTGAGGAATGTTACGCAAGTCATACTACAACGTGTTTGGCAGGAGCTGGTTACCGACTAGACGTATGTTGTGTTACAGGCGCTGCGCATATTGAACTTTTGTGAAGCTTTGTGGAATCGGTTATAAAATCTACATTCCTTTGAATATCTTATCGAATTTGGATAAATAAATACTTTATTGTTCAACTTGAAGCCTATTTAATTTCCTTTGCCTGGGACATGTAGTTACTCAGATATTCAAATTTTAAATAATGGCATTTTTTGGAGACAGCCTTTATTTTACAAAAACAAAAACAAAACTCGACCCGACACCCACTAACGCGAGAAGACATGGTAATAAAAAAGAACCAAATTAATAAAATGCATACCTATTACGCACTAAGCTGTATATACACAGGAAGACACGGCAACAATTTGTAGCTTAATGGTGAAAACGTATTTTACATAACTATTTTCCAACATAATAGCCTTCCTTATCAATGCAACTTAAATTAGCTGGGAATATCAATCAGAATAAACAAACATTATATAGTAAAAAAAATCAAATAAATATTTAGCATGAATATATCTATCTATCTATCTATCTATCTATCTATCTATCTATCTATCTAACAACAAAAAGAATGCATAAACATAAAAATGTCTTAAAATAATTGTCGGACTTTGTCCATTTCATAATGTGTGACGTTATTTGTTTACATTTGATACGCCATGATATGAATGTACGTGAGAGATTCATGGAAGATTGAAGTTTAACTACAGAAAATTCGACCTTGCTAACCGAACGCTCCTTCGTGGCCAAATCGGTAAAGGCACGTCAAGCTAAATGACGGTTCCGTATAGGATACAGGTTCGAATGCTGTCGGAGGACGAATATTTCCTGTGAAAATTTCTCGGACATTCAGGCCAGTAAATGTTGTTTAATACTGTTTATTTTAAACAGAGCATTTACTTAAATATTTGTATCTATAAAAAGAATATATAAACATAAAAATGTCTTGAAATAATTGTCGGACTTTGTCCATTTCGAAATGTGTATATATATATATATATATATATATATATATATATATATATATTCTCATGCAATCTTCAGAATATACTAAACACCCGAAGAAAAAACTGCATGACAGTCATGCTATCGACGTTGGATATTATGTATATTCAATAATATATACTTATAGCTCTGTAACATCTCATTGAGCACTATATTTATAGCACCAGAGGAGGAAATATATTCATACATACGTACAAGTATATGAGCGTATATATATATATATATATATTGATTTGATTTGGTTTGGTTTACGGCAGATCAGCCTTAATGGGTTATTTAATGCCGACAAAATTTTTGTTGCAGGCAATGTTTTTTCTTTCAAAAATCTATTTTTAGTAATACTCTTTTCTTCAAAAATGTATTGCTGGTAATAATCTTTTTATAAAAAGTATTTCTGGTAGTAAAACCTATTTTTACACTTTCACAGAGTTTTGACCCCAGTTTGCGTGTTAACTACTTGCCCATACCTGGGACCCTAACGTGCTACCACCCCTGGTCAGGGTAAACCTAGGAACACCAGCAATTAAGAGGTGGCTCCACGCTCCTCAGAACCTCCTGATCAGAGGCCTTGCTGTTGGACGTAGTTTATCGTCTTACGCAGGAAACTATATATATATATATATATATATATATATATATATATATATATATATATATATATACACAAGAGAGTCATTTCGAAAGTGATGCCTCCTTTACAACTTCAGAGGCAGATTTTGGTGGCTTGGCAGTAAAAGATGAAACTTTCACTTAAATCCTCATATATATTTTTTGTTGCACCCACCCATCTGTTAAAGTATATATAAAAAAAAAAATAAAATAATATAAAAGTTTTACTAAATTACAAGGATTGATATTTGTCTACACTTGATGAACATTTACAGGAAGTAAACGGTACATGTGATCACACTTAGGTGATTTGGGTTAATTGGAGTAATTCAATGAAAACCCCTGCTTCGGATGAACTGTTATGTCAGACGCTATTTGTCCAGACTATTTTTAGGCAGCAAGTATTCAGCCAGACAAGTTTAATTAAAAAGAACTGACAAGGTCTGTCTTTTTAATTTTTATTATATTTTTCCAACAAGGTGTTGAGTATTGTGCTCGAAGTTGTGGATAAACTGCATGAAGTTCATATTTTGTTATTTTCTGTTAATGTACTTTCGACCATAGCAATCATTATCAAGATCCAATGAGGTGCCTATGTGGTTGTTAGAATTCATTTGTTTACATCTTTGTATTCTTTGGGAAGATGAAAGTTTTGAAATAGTCAAACGTGACGTGTAACTGTTATTGGCACCGAGATCACTCAGACAGAATTTATATCTAACTATCTGTATATATCTATCTATATATATATATTTATATATATATATATAAAATTAGGATTAACTTTTTTTATTATATATATATATATTTAATTAAATTAATATTGTTTAATTAAAAATGACTGACAAATTATTTTAATTATTTTCTCTTGTTCTTACAAATTTTTTCTTTTATGGGAGTAAATTATGTAGAAATTTTCCAAATATTTCTACATAATTTAAGTCCAAGACAATTATAAGAACAGAAAAAAAAAAAATAAAACACTTAAGCGCAGTACATTGTCAGTCGTTTTTAATGAAACTTGTATAAAAGATGGATTGCTGCCCAAACACACAATTATATATATATATATATATATATATATATATATATATAGTCTTAAGGTGTGCTATATTTATAGAATAAAGT